GGAAGCAAGCCTCTTATCCAGCAGGCCATGGCTAAGATCATGAAGGCCAACCCTGCCCTGTATGTGCTCAGGGAGCGCATCCGCAAAGGTCTGCAGCTGTACTCTTCAGAGCCCACTGAGCCCTACCTGTCCTCACAGAACTACGGTGAACTCTTCTCCAACCAGATCATCTGGTTTGTGGATGACACCAATGTCTACAGAGTCACCATCCACAAGGTGAGGGCTGGCAACGTGTGATAGTAAATATATTACCTTTGTATAGGATTATTACAAAAATTAACATGATTTTCTTGTCTTTGTCAAAAGACATTTGAAGGTAACTTGACCACAAAGCCTATCAACGGAGCCATTTTCATCTTCAACCCCAGGACTGGTCAGCTCTTCCTCAAGATCATTCACACATCTGTGTGGGCTGGACAGAAACGTTTGGGACAGGTACAGCTTAACTACTACTAACTTTAGCTTTTTCAGACTCTTACTGTGGTCAGTTTTGATGTAGGTTTAAAAATAGGGTTTCTTCGTGTCATTTTTTGTTTAGTTTTGTCCTGTTCTTTGTTACATAAGCACTGCAGCTAAATTGTTTAGCATATATCACTGGGATGAAGTATTGCTGAATTTTAACGTTTATTTTATGTTCGTAACATAAAAGTCCCCAATAAGTAACACCTGCACTTTAACACCTTTTCTACCCCTTTGGGTAAATGTCACATACACTAAAGTTGTCAATTGTTTCTCTGTAGTTGGCGAAATGGAAGACAGCTGAAGAAGTGGCTGCCCTGATTCGCTCCCTCCCTGTAGAAGAACAGCCAAAACAGATCATTGTCACCAGGAAGGGCATGCTGGACCCTCTGGAGGTGAGGTCATGATGAGAACTGCAATAATCATTTCAAGCCTTGATGTGTCATCTTTTTGTTTGATGGATACATACAGTGCCTTCCTGCCCTAATACCATTGTTTTTTCTACGCAGGTCCACTTGCTTGACTTCCCCAACATTGTGATCAAGGGCTCTGAGTTGCAGCTGCCTTTCCAGGCCTGTCTGAAGGTGGAGAAGTTTGGAGACCTGATCCTGAAGGCTACAGAACCTCAGATGGTGCTGTTCAACCTCTATGACGACTGGCTCAAGACCATCTCATCTTACACAGTGAGTTTTAGTCCCCACAAGAGATTCACATCAGGATTTAATGGATTGTATCAAATTTGTATCGTTGTGTGCATCTGTATTGAAGATCTTCTGTTGTATTTGATCCCACTGGGAAATTATGCATAAAGCTGTAAGAAAGCGTCTGTGCTTGTTTACCAACATAAATGATGGTTACAAACAAACCTGAGTTGATCCAAGGTAATTAACCAACAAACCCATTTCGGGGCTTTTTCTTTAGTGACATCAACTAATTATCTTGTGTAAATAGTTTGTTTGGTTGTCTGCTCCATCTCTAGGCCTTCTCTCGACTCATCCTGATTCTCAGAGCGCTCCATGTCAACAACGACCGAGCAAAGGTGATCCTCAAGCCTGACAAGACGACAATTACCGAGCCCCACCACATTTGGCCCACACTCACTGATGAGGAGTGGATCAAGGTAGAGGTGCAACTCAAGGACCTTATTCTGGCAGATTATGGCAAAAAGAACAAGTGAGTATTGTTTTGGATTGATATTCTTGCACTAAAATGAAGGCTTAATGTAGCTCAGATAGTAATTGTAAAACATCTTTAATAAAACAGAATAAAACCAGACTTGCATTTAGTAGTTAATGCTTCCTTTCTCCCTCCAGTGTGAACGTGGCCTCACTGACGCAGTCTGAGATCCGTGACATCATCCTGGGTATGGAGATCTCTGCTCCGTCACAGCAGCGCCAGCAAATTGCTGAGATCGAGAAACAGACCAAAGAGCAGTCGCAGCTCACCGCCACACAGACCCGCACCGTCAACAAGCATGGTGACGAGATCATCACCTCCACCACCTCCAACTACGAGACGCAGACCTTCTCCTCCAAGACTGAGTGGAGAGTGAGGTATGCAGGCAGTGTTAAAGTCCGTGTGTTGAATTAAACTGTTATCAAGGCAATCATAATTTCAGCTCTTGTGGTTTCCATCTCAGTCAGCTTTAATGATCCTTCCTTGTCACCTGTCAGGGCTATTTCTGCTGCTAACCTCCATCTCCGAACCAACCACATCTATGTGTCGTCTGATGACATCAAGGAGACGGGTTACACCTACATCCTGCCCAAGAACGTCCTCAAGAAGTTCATCTGTATCTCAGATCTACGAGCACAGGTATGAATGATGCTTTTACGTCTCTCCACTAGGACCCTCCATTTTGTGTTGTGTTTCAAACTAAAGAAACCCTTTTTGTCATTGTTCAACACGTTCTGAATGTGCACTGTGTTCCAGATCGCAGGTTACCTGTACGGCACCAGCCCACCAGACAACCCCCAGGTGAAGGAGATCCGTTGTATCGTCATGGTACCACAATGGGGGACGCACCAGACTGTCCACCTGCCCAACCAGCTGCCTGGTCATGAATACCTTAAAGTAAGTCACACGTAGTGTGAGAAATTGATGTTCAGTACTTGTCTTTTCAGTTCAATTTTTATTCTAGTTTTATTCAGTTTTATTCCAGTTTTTTTAACTTCTTTACTTAAACAGGAAATGGAGCCCCTCGGCTGGATCCACACCCAGCCCAATGAGTCACCACAGCTGTCCCCTCAGGACGTCACCACTCACGCTAAGGTCATGGCTGACAACCCCTCATGGGATGGAGAAAAGACCATCATCATCACCTGCAGGTAGGTTTAAATACAAGACTGACTATTAAATCCCCAAACTTTCCGCATTTTGTCAGTTAATGTACAATATATAAAAGTCAAGCTTTAGAACAAAGCATGTAGATCAGGGGTTTTCAGAGGTTGTGGTCCTCCTCATTGGAGAAACTCCTATCTCTAAACTATCTCTAACAAAATCACACATTTAGGCTTTTATGTGATAACTAATGTCATATATTTTTACTTCCATTCACTGAGCCTCCCCTGTAACAGTTTGGAGCCTCACTAGCGCTACTCACGAGCGCTTCACACTTTGAAAACCTCTGACATCACAATTTCCTGGAAAATGAACATCATGTCTTTTGTAAAAAAAATCTTTATTAACTGAGCTGCTTAATGTATACTATGAATTTGAAAAATAATGGCGTTCTTGGACTTAAGAGATATCACAATGTCATAAAATAAGCAATTAGTAGGAAATTAACTGGGACTTAAATGTATTTTTGATTTTGGTTTTCAGCTTCACCCCCGGCTCGTGCACACTCACAGCCTACAAGCTAACGCCCAGTGGCTACGAGTGGGGTCGTCAGAACACAGACAAGGGAAACAACCCTAAAGGTTACCTGCCCTCCCACTATGAGAGAGTGCAGATGCTGCTCTCTGATCGTTTCCTTGCCTTCTTCATGGTGCCTGGACAAGTCTCCTGGAACTACAACTTCATGGGTCAGTAGCTGTAGTTTTTATTTTTTTCAGATTAACTTGATTCCTTTGCTTCAAACTGCCAGGTCACATGTCTGATATCCTCAGTGCTGCATTTCGTGTTCATTTGTGATACAAATCGTTGGCATACATTGATGTTTCCGCTGTGTCCCTGTTTCTGTTTGATTGATTTTACTGTGCAACTGGTTCACAGCTGAAAAATCTCTTTTGTGCTCAAATGCAAACCGTCTTTTCCTCCTTAAATTAATGTACAGTATAATATTGAAATGATATGAACCATGACTTAGGCAAGACTGGAATAATTGAGTCATGCAGTGCTCAAACCAGAAATTAGCTCACTAAAAAAAAACCATTCTTTCAACAGGCGTGCGCCATGATCCCAACATGAAGTACGATCTGCAGCTGGCCAACCCCAAAGAGTTCTACCATGAAGTTCATCGGCCCTCACACTTCCTCAACTTCGCCTCACTGCAGGAGGGCGAGATCTACAACGCTGACCGAGAGGACATGTATGCTTGAGTCGACCCGTTGCTCTCAATACATTTTGTAGATAACTCTGCCAGCACCATGACGAGCCGGTCGAGAAGAGCCGCTGTAATATTTCTATCGATCACGTTTAACTGTGGACATTTTTATGTAAAGGCTTCAGGAAGTTTTAGAAACCTGTTAATTTTTTTTTTTTCTACAAATGTTCTTTTTCTTGCTACCCGCTCCGTCTCTTTCCCTGTTTTGGTTATTTTTTGAGTAAATCTGATTCTTGTGGCTCCTGCCTATGTGTATCTGTGTGTAGTTTTCAGTATACAATACTTTCAGTGTGATATTTGATAATGACATCATCTTTAAATGGAGACTTACTTCCCCTCAGCTCTTTTGAGAAATGAAAGTTGTATTTTCATGCCAGTTACTATGTTGTACTGTACATCCTATGACATTGTAGCTTGGGTTTAAATAAAAAACATTTTTTATAAACATTTGCGATGTGATCTGTGATAAAGCTGTTTTCAGACCCGAACTGAACTCTGGATAATCTCCTGAAATTTTCTGGAGGGTCTATATGTGAGAAAGCAAATGTTGGAGACAGTTGCCACGGATATTCTCTGGCGTTCCCCTTAGTACTATCTATAATGTCAAATACATGTGTGGTGAGAAGTGAAGTGTTATTCTATGTGGATATTTATTTTGACAGTACTGGGGAACAGGTTTCAGCTTGCTTCCCTCTTCACTCAGAGCAAAGTGTAGTTTCTTCCCCCTCACAACTTCCTTAGTTTATAATTTGACATTTATTGGGCAGCTATAAGTCAACACTTGTGACTGCAGATCTGCAGAGGAAATCCAGTGTTCAAGCTCTGCTGCCTGCGTTACTATGCTCGACTTGGCAGGAGAGCTTTTACATGTTGTTATGCGTGTGTGTGCTCACATTACATTGGACAGAGAAGGAGGAGGATCCTGCGGGGAGTATGCAGGCTGCAGGTCTACCGCCCTGGACTGTGCTGCCTTGTAGTACAGTGGATCGTGAGTACTCGATGTTCTTGTGTGTTTTTTTTCATGTGGGCTGTGTTGTTGTGACCTCAGCAGGTTCGTGCATGACGTGTCGTCGGAAGGGGAGCAGGTCACTTTCGGATGTCGGCTCAGCCATGCGCAACAGAAACCGGTTTCAACTTCACTTTGACATGCTTTTATTCCGTGTGACTGACATGCAGCGCTGAAGAGCCCCTGTCGCTTTCGATATCGGACAAACAGGAGGACATGGAGGCGCACGAAGCTCAGCGGGACACCGGCCCCACGGAGAGCTGCTTCGACAAGTCCTGCTCGGCGCTGACGCTGGACGACGTGTACGAGATCGCCAAGCTGATCGGCGCCGAGGTGGAGAGGCTCATCGACGGGTACGGGAAAGAGAGCGTCCTGGGGCTGGTGCCGAGGATCGTGAAGGTGCTGGAGCTGCTGGAGAGCTTCGCGTCGAGGAACCTCTCTCACAAGCTGAAGGAAGAGGAGCTACTGAAGACCTTCGAGGCCATCCAGCTCCAGCAGCAGCAGCTGCAGCAGCACAGGAAGCGTGGAGGTGGTAAAGACAACAGCAGCGAGGAGGACAGACATGAGACACGGGTGAGACACGGACATGTAGCTGTGAGATCCTCCCTGCAGTCTGGAAACACTGTCCCAGCCACTCTGTGTTAGAGCTGTGGAACTAAACAGCGCCATGGTTCTTCTGTGACATTATTAATAATAACAATAAAACATTTTATTTATACAGCTCAAAGTGCTTTACAATAAACCCAGAGACGTGACATTAGATAGCTCAGTAAGAACACGTTAGCAGTAAAACAAAGACTTAGGAAAAAAGCATAAAACGAGCAAAAGGTATAAAAAGAAGTAAGAAATAAAGACAATCAAAAGTGAGATCATAGAAAAAGGTTTTGAGTTGTTTCTTAAAACTTATAACCAAGGCCAGAGGAGAGAGGCAACGCCTTCTGAATACAGTAAAAACATTAAAGATACAGACACGAGTTATACATAATAACTTCATGCTTTATGTTATATGTGTAATCAGGATAGTGTGAACCTGGATATTATCTGGAGTCATCTGTTCTATATGTGTCCCCTGACATTTGCCCCAACCTGCTATTACCAGCTGCTCCCCTGTGTCTCCAAGACAACCGCAGTTTGACAACCACTGACGATTATGAACAAATCATTATAAATATTGACTCACTTACTATTTACCAAACTGTTATTTTATCTCAGTTAATGGGATTGTCCTTTGGCCAATAAACTGTAAAACATATTGAAAAAAAGTCACCCCATTTTCTTAAAGGTACAGTGTGTAGAATTTTGTGATGTGTAGTGTTGAAGTTGCATGTTGCAGCTGAACCCCCCTCACCTCACCCTCCCCTTCCAAACATGAAAAAGAACCTGTGGCAGCCTTTAATTATCATAAGAAGATGTTTAGTTTGTCCAGTCTGGACTAATGTAAAAAACATGGCAGCCTCCATAGAGAGGACCCCCTCCATGTAAATATAAAGTATTTATATGTAAAGGGTCTTTTCTGGGGTAAAGAAAACTACAATTCATACAATTTAGATGAAACGAACTAGTGAAAACATCATAAGGATTATTCTACATTAAATTTCTGCCAATAGTTCCCTTTCACCTAAATCTTACACACTGGACCTTTAAATCATAAAGTTGTGTCCTCGAATGTAAAAGTATTGTATTGAGTCAACTATTATAGGGGGCTAAACAAATCAGAGAATGTTCCCTTAAAGAAGCTGTAACCACATAACATTGACACATTTACTGCAGGGGTTCAGTGTCTTTTTGCCCGTGGACACTTCAGCATGGGAGAGATGAACCACCAACCTTCTAGTTCTTCCTCCTGGGCCACAGCCAGCCTTGACAATGAAGACTCAAAGCACCAATAGAGGGACACAAGTTATTAGTAACAGTTATTAGTGTTATCAGTAATTCATTTTTTGTTCCACGTTAACAGTGCTGTGATAGAATTACCAGCAGTTACTCCCACAGTCATTACTCTGTATGTGTCATGGGACTATTAACACACAGAAGAGCTTCATTGTTGAGAAGCAACACTGTTATTTCTTGAATTACATTGATTAACTCAACTAGCTGCTAAACTAATTATGCAAATAATTTAACCTACATTCATTTACTACTCATCTTTCATTATGTTGAGCACCTCACACTTGACTCTTTAGTGCCATTACGCTGCAGACATGACAGTGCTGTTATAAGCACGGTTGAGAAAGTAAAAGACGAGGTGTGGTTGTTATTCAGAGGTCCACACAACATTTGTGATGACTCAACAGTTTAATGACACACCCTGTTGGAAATGACCCATTTAGCTGAAGGCAAATTCATGGATGCTCAAGAGGCTTTTACAGTTGACCTAGAATTCTGATCTTATTTATTTACAACTTTGGTATCCTGTCTCTGAGGTTGTGGTTTTACAGTGTGTCTTTCATCCTCTTTAGCAGGAGCTGCAGCAGAAGGAGCAGCAGCAGTGGAGCAGGAGGTGTGAGGAGCTGCAGGTCCAGGTGCAGCAGCTCCAGGAGGACAGGGAGGAGCTGCAGAGCAGGCTGAAGGGCAGCTATGCACATGAAGGTATGTCTGAGGATCAAATGAGTAAAGTCCAATGTAAGGCATGATGCTGTTTTTTTAAATCCAGATCAGTTCCAACAGACTTATTTCTTTTCTTTCTAAAAGCAGCCTTTCAGTCTTCCGACTACATGTTGTTAATATTCCTCACATGACTTTTGAAGTCCGAGAAATCTTACCCTGAGGGAATCACATATATTTCAAAAGGGGAAATGTTTGGGGCCCTATGTTTTCAGGATGGCTGTCACTTTCAAAAAATGAATATTTGTGGCTATCATAGTCTTATGTGCAAACATACATTTTTCTAAACAGATAAGTAATTTTGCCACAGTGATCCATAGAAATCCCCCTGCCCCTATCCAAGTCTGTTATTGGTCTTTCTAAAGATGCAAATCACCCTGAAGGCTGTTTAAATATGTAGTTTGCTTTAGTCCAGGTATGCAAACATATGTAACAGGAAAAAAAAATCTTCTCAACCAATTACAGTACAGATTCAAAGTGGTTGGTTAACAGTCACATACAGGGACGCTGAAAGCCGTCAGACTGGTCGCTGCACTTTCAGTTTTGCGGTTATTTTTCGGAGATTAAGCAACAGAAGTTCTCACAGGTGTGAGAGGACTCGGACGAGAGGCTGTGCTTACTTTGCAAATACAGAGGACGCTAGATAAAGAGTACTGATGTATTTCAGCATGAAGAAACCTCCCCACAGTAATGTGAGCCAGACAAGGGCGTCATCATGGTGGCTCCGGTTTTCTTGTGCTGACAGGAAAAACATGCAATTTGAGTTATTTGACAAGCAGTCATGTGGCAGGTGAATTAGTTATTTGATTTCATTTGATGAATGTGACTGAGATCAGGCTCCAGTGCTTCAACCAGCCCAGTTCACATGCGCTGCTGTTTATTTTAGTTTATGTAGAAGAATTTAGTTTGGGACGACAGAACATGACACTTTTTTTGTCCAAATCCATTTATGTAGGTCACAGAAAACATCTGGGCATGAATGGCATCGAGCTGTGGATAGCTTTGGTTCTATTTGCCCAGGATTTGAGAAATCCACAATTTCTGAGTCCTCACCAATACAATAGAGGAGAGTGGAATGTGTGGAATCTGTGGCATGTTTGCATTAAACAAAATACAACAGTGAGATTTCTTTCCAAAGAAAAAGTGTCAGTTTTTGTTTCTACTGTAGATAAGATTCTCACTATGAAGTGTTGAACTTTTTAAAGAAAAAATTGTTCCTGCAATTATCCTAATTTACCTGCAATTGACTCTGGAACAGTTTCATGGGTAAGAACGGCATGAAACCAAAAGATCCTGAATATAACCTGCTCTTAAAGATACCATGTGCTTTATCATTTGGGTGAACTGATCCTCTAAGTTAGTATCCCCTGTCAATTATAAAGTTCTTTTATGTGAAGACTATTTGTTGATAGATTACGCATGTTTTTGATGTAATTTTCAGTAGGTGCACAGATTCACAAATCAACTCTTTCCCTTTTCTCAGAAGCTACAGAATAACTATGATCTTATCTTTGGCTTGAGATGGAAAATATCCTGCCAAGTGCTTTCATAACACATATGCAGTCAAGGTGCTATTTTCTCTCCCATGGTCAGACCGTGTGCAGCGGCAGGAGCGAGAGGTGATGCTGAAGCTGAAGCAGGTGGTGGACAAGCAGAGGGACGAGCTGAGGGCCAAGGCTCAGGAGATCACCACCATCTCCAAAGAGGTGGAGGCGGTAAGGAGACACAGACGCTTGTGTGTGTGATGATTCCCCTGCCTTTGCATGTTGACACATTCTCTCGCTAGAATGACACTCAGAAGAGCGCATACCTCCACCAAGGCCAAACAACAACCCTTGTAAGCTGAGGCTACATTATGTTTCTCAGTGACACGATGGGGCTTGTTTCAGATTTCAAATACAGTGGCTGACAACCTTATTAAACCACATTTAAATCCACTAGTTCCAGATTTTAATTTGGCTCCACAAGAAATTGCAAAACACTCTTCGATACCATAGCCCCTAAGCATGTCAGATTTTTCATAAATTAGAATAGACACACCCTATCTCGCAATGTTTAAGAAAGTGAAAAAAAAATCCCTGGATCTGGCCTCTGATCCAGATCTCTCCGGACCTGTAAACTATCCTTGCACCAAGTTTAGTGGTAATCCAATGCGTATTTTTTTGCGTAATCCCAAGTAACAGACTAAGGCAGATGAAAACATTTGTTAGCACTAGGTTTCAGACCAGAGAGAGAGACAGAGAAATAGAGCTGCTGCACCTTTAACACATGAACACACAAACAACATGATGTTTATGACTGTGGCTTCAAAGGTTCTCTCTCCTTAAAGACTCTTTTACTTTCCAAACAGATACAATGGCCTTTTTTTAATCTCTATCATGCTAAGGTTATACATTTTGTAATATTTGTACATATATAAAGTCAAAAGAGAAGTTAAGTCATGTGGTGGCCACTGCAGTAAACAACCAGAAAGTTAACAGTCAGCAGGGATTATCCACATAGTTACTAGTTAAGAGTTATGCTGCACTTTAGACACGTCTGAGCAGAGTTTACTCCCCACATACTGCAGAGTGTGTGTGTGTGTGCGCTCTGGTGTGAGTGTTTGCACGTGTCTTTATATATGTCAAGGCATGTGTACCACATGATTTAAATAGCAGTCATAACTGGGTGTGCATTTGTTGACGTTTAACTTTTAAAAAGACTGAGAAAAACAACTCACGGTCAAATAAACTAGTTCCTCTGTTGGCTCTATTGGATGCCGAGAATTTTTTTCATCCTCGAAATGAATGTTGCTCTTGTCTTGACGTTGTGTGGTTTCATTCTGACTCTTCTCCCTCCCCCAGACTTAAGGTCCAAATCCCAAGCATGGACACATTTTCAACCCACTCTCCTGCAGTGTTTTTTGTTTGTTTTTGGCTGATGCAGATTGTGTTTTTGGTCAAACATTGGCATGTTGATTTTATATTTATACCTGGCTGGAAATATTGAAGCTGTTAGATGTCAAACCTATTTAGTTGGTCTACTTGCTGGGACTTCCTTTATTTAACCAGGAAAATCTACCTGATATTAAGAATATTTTGTTAAGGTGTATATATGTGTGTGTGTGTGTGTGTGTGTGTGTGTGTGTGTGTGTGTGTGTGTGTGTGTGTGTGTGTAGCTCCAAGAGCAGTTGGACCGCTTCATGAAGATGAACGCAGAGCTGCGACACAAGCAGAACGTGCTGCAGGCTCAGCTGAAGAGCACCGTGGAGAGGAAGGCCGACATGGAGACCGATCTCAAAGAGAAGAGCAAAGAGATAGAAAACCTCCAAGCACAACTGGACAGAGCCAACAGCAACAGCCCTGTATGTTTCTGTCCTTCTTTTCATTTCATTTCCAGTGAAGTACGTTATTTTAACTGTTAACACTGTAATGTACAACACCATGCTTGTGTGGGTTTGCTTCTCAAATTCAAAGATTTGTGCGTCATGGACAATGTATATTATTTACAAAACTTATAAGCAATATAGGAGATAATAAGGGACATGTTTAATTGAGGAGTGAACTTATATATATTTTAACTGCTCAGCATTAATTCTACAAAGAGCTAAATGTGTTAAATCTAAAATTGACAGTGTCTTTAATCAAACATGACAAAATATATCGGCTTCGTTCTCTTGGTTCTCCTCCTCCTAACAAACTCAAGATAGGACATGGATCCTGCAGTTTATAAAGACAACCTAATGACTCTTTGTTTTCTCATCAGTCCAGTCCAAGTCAAACATCTCGCGAGTCAAGGAAAAAGACGACCGGTGACCAGAAGGATCCCGATCAGCCGTGCTTCACCAAGAAGGAGGTGCGTGACATCATTTTCGAGAGGAACGAGCTCAAAACCAACCTGTTCCTGGTGCAGGAGGAGCTCAACTACTATCAAAGGTAGGTCCGCCTGTCGCAGTGTGTGTGGACCAAATATTGTCTTCTTATGATTTGACATGTGAATGATGTTTCTGCAGGGAGATCCTGAATGAGGAGAGGTGTCCGGGTTTCCTCTTAGAAGCCGTCCGCTCAGCCATCAAAAAAAGGAGAAAGCTCATCAAGGCCAAGATGCTCGGAATTTCTGTGAACGAGTGCAGCAGCAGGTCTCTCTCAACAAACACAACGCAAAATGACGGGGCAGTTTAGGTGTTCAGAAGAAAAGGTTTAGTTTTATTCACAGTTGTTATTTTCTCTCTCCAGTGATGAGGAGGAGAGGAGCTCTCTCTTCGGCCAGACACAAGTAGACGGTGCACGAGTGGACACTGACACTGACAAACCAGCTGAATCACGCATCCGAAACCTGTGAGTACAACTTCGACCTGCGCTGCTGCACTTCACTGCTCAGACGTGCGTGTTAGTGATGTTTTTAAAGGATGCAAAACTTTAAAAAAACAACACAAAAAACAAAAAGATGTCAAAATGAAGCATCAAGTCATCCTTTTTATCTCAATTACAAAGTCAAAACCTTCTTGTGTGTGCTTAAAATGTGTCCATTGGGAAGCAAGTCAGTATTTGCACAATGCCACTGACTGAGTTCCAAAACAAATGTCCTGATGTGAAGCAGAGAGAGAGAGTAGGTTTTTAAACTCAGCCTAAATGACTTTCCCATGTTGCAAAACCGGCTGTGCACAGAGTCACGGAGCCTTCAATCTGTCCCTTTTACCTGCTAGCTGAACATTTTACCCAGTGAATATATTTCACAATATCTGAATTTAAATCTGATCATCAGGAAACAGTCATCTGCAACATAAAAATCATGTGAGGCTGTAATGTGGGAGGGGAAGAGGAAATGGACATGGAGAGAGAAAGATAAACGTCTGACATGTGATTTGAGTCCTTAGATTCAGCAAATCAACTAAGTAGATTTAATGTGTTGACATGTGTTCATGATTTTAGCCTTAGATTAAGTCTGTTTTCTTAGAAATATGAAATTGTTTAGACAGAAGAGATTAAACAGTTTCATCTGATAAAGAACGAACTGGGTTGTAGCTGAGACTGATCTTAACTTCCCACAGTATCTATGAGAAAGTCTATTTGAGTCTGGGTGAGGGGGAAACCTCTCAACTGAATTAAGCATAAAATGTGAGTAATGTTGTCTGGTCTGAAAATACAGCTGAGTTTGGATGTGTTATGAGTCTGCTTGACTTAATTAGCCAGTTGAATATAATTGAATTATTATAATAGAAATGATTATTAGGGCTGAAAGTTCTGCTTTAGGTAATCTGAAATAGAGTTATCACTTCAGCACCAAACCTCTGAGACACATGTAGACATTAGACATTATAGATGATGTTTAATTAAACTCTAACTGAAGCGCTGTACAGCTTGTGTTAAAGGTGAATCAGAAAAACAACAGATATCTGTGAATCAAAGCCTCGGTTTTATCTCTGTCTGCTGTCACAGTGCAGGGATCCTCATCAGTGCTGCTCTATATTTAGCTTTAATCCCCGTCTGCAGATCTGACCTCAGGCCTGTTTTTTCTACTCTCTACTCTGCAGCTTTGGCTTTCTGACGCGGTCGGGCGCCGGCCGTAGCCCCACCCACATGAGCAACTCCGCCTCTGGCTGGGAGATCATCGGAGACTCAGAGGCCACCGATGATGAGACGGAGCAGCGATCGTCCTCCTGAGCCCAGTACTGAACCTGACATCCTACGAGTCCTGACGCCCTATCTCCTTTTGGTCCCAACCTCTTCGTCTGGTCTTTCCTCAGTAGAGAGGTCAGGAGGTTCTCTCAGTGTAGGCCAAGTGTGTGCAACACAAAAAGCACTATGTGAGCATGAAGACAGAATGTTTTTAATCCTCATTAACCTTTGCTCCCTTATTTTCCCAGAGGTCATAAATATGAGTCACACTGTTTAGCTACAGTATAAACAGCTCGGTGTACCACAGTATTAAGGGAAACTTTGAACTCACCACAGCTTCCTTTTATATGATTTATGTATTGATACAAATAATGTTTTTTTCATTGTTTTATTGTTGGTAATTTTTTTAATGATCAGATAATTATATTTTTTCAAGTTAAACTAAAACCAAAGACACAAAATTTCAAAAGTATATATTCTGAAATAAAGCTAACCCCACTAGTAAATCTGAAAACCAGTATTTTAAGTTCACCTCTAATCCACAAGAGGGTATTGTTTCCTTTTATAACTAATAATAATATTAACTCATATATTTTTCATGATTTTAAGCACTTTGAAGTTGCAGTACTAGACTCTTCCAGCAGTGGGTGCATTCTGAATAAGCCTTAACATGTATACTATATTTTCTTAATTTGGCTGCTGTACCGGCCTGTGTGGACTGGTTACCGTTTAAGGAAGTTGTGCACTTCCGTGTGGAAATGAGAGTAGACGTGGGGATTTCTTTTCTCTCCAACATTAACTGACAATTAACATAAAATATCTGAACACTGTAATCTCACGCCTGTGCTAATGTCTGAATATAACACTGCTCACAGACCAGTGGTGTTGTGTTTATACAGAGACAATGTATGACCTGCAAATCACACCATGTTTTCATTCATTACTGTTTGGAATCTATTTTTGTAAGTATCTTTATAATGAAATTGTGTGGTGACGGAAGCTTATTTAAGATTTCAGTTTCTATTTGAACTTTATTGAAAATGTGACAAAAAAAATTCAAAATGTGGATTTTCTGTGACCCTGATATTTCAAACTTAAATAAAATCCATTTAACACACTGGTATTGAAAAGAAAAAATGGTCTCAATCCATTTTTTCCAAAGTTTCTTTAAAAATATTCAGAAATGTATTCGGGAAGTTTTAAGACACATTTCTTGATTTCTCATAAAATAATGAATTGAACTTGATTAAAAAAATGTTGACCTGAGCAGTTATTTATGAGTGTTTGCAACTGGTGCAGATCCAAATAAAAATCTGGATTTGATGATTTTAAATGTGGTTTCATAAGGAGACTGTAGAACTCCATTGAGGATCATTGTAGTTTGATCATGTGACCATCTTTGTACTGACTTACAAGACTGACGTGACTTATAAGGAGCAGTGAGGCTTTCTTCATCATCTCCAGGAAGACTGTAAACGTCAGACTCTGGGGAAAAAGAGTGAACATCAGGGGTGTGTGTGTGTGTGTGGCGTGTTTTGTGTGTTAGTGTTCAACCATCTTTAAAAAGCTCTGAGTCTGGCTGAATAGAAGGAAGTGGCTCTGACTTCCCCAGGAAATGGGAAGAGGAAACCTGGGGGCTTCGGCCTCTCTGGCTACACTGAAGCTGCAAGACGACTCACAGGAGAGAAAGAGGGGGAGCAGGGGAAGGAGGGAAGGGTGGAGGGCGGACAGAGAGATACAGCTGCCTCTTATTGTGCTCTGACTGGAAGGAGAACAAACTGGGAGGACAGACAGAAATCAGGAACAGACTGGACATTCAGACGAGAAAGATATTCGGCTCCAGGTTTGTGGTCTGGCGTGGAGATGAAGATTGTCCTCACAGCTCTGAGTGTTCTGCTCTGCTGCTGGTCGTCATCCTCACACACACTGGACCCTGCTGGGAAGAACGTGTGCCGCAGTATCAGGTAGAGTGAAACTTCACCTTCAATCACACCTGTGGACTCTTATCTTTTTGGTTTAGAAGAAGCTTGTGACCAAAATATGTTGACATCCCTTTGAAATCAGGATATAAGAGCTGTTCCTGTCACACATTTTACTGCCATCAATGTTTTTCTCATTATAGGATGTGTTCAACTTTGACCTTTGTTAACTTTGGCTACTGGGATTTTTTTGTCTGTCTCAATTGTAAGGCTGTTTCAGTTATTTCCTACATTTTCAGAGACCCCTC